CTATTAATATATCAAAGTCTACATTATCGTACGCCGCTGAGACGTCCAAGAAAGCCGCTAAGGTGTAATTGTTGCCAGATTCGTTCCACGAACATCCGATACTAACTTTACTAAATTTTCCATACATGATCCCCCTACGGAATCCATTGCATTGATGATAAGCTTTTTCTTGCCACCAAATAAGTCGTCGTTTATCATCTTTCCATTAATTTTCCTACCATGAGAAAGTGCAATAGGTCTAACTTTTTCTTTTCCTATTTTATCAATAAACAAAATTGATAGTTTCTCCACTCGACGGAAACCAATCCCTCATCCAAATTTCATTGAACAACTTTGAAGTAGTTGTTGCCATTTCGGTAGGTTTTTAGCATTATATAATGTATTCGTCTAACCTGGAGCTGAGTTTCTTTTAATCATCCGTAGGGCACGGGAGAGCTCTTCCATAGAAAATATCCTATTCAACTCCTCTCTATCTGTCATATTTGTTATCCATCTTGTTGTTTTTCCCTGCAACCCATGGAGGAGCAAGCTTCAATCGTATTCCATATTTCTTGTTCTCTATCTTTATGTTGCCAAACGTTCCAGTTAATCTTATTTCTTACATTCTTATATATACGCATTGAATTCCAAACGTACTTCATACTAGTATGTTATTAATACTATTACAAAATTTAATAAAATCTTCTTTTTCTTTCTATTAATGACTTTTCTAGCTAATGCGCGACCTTTTTGAATTCAATAAAATCTTCCACTTTTCCTGTCCGTTTCCATATCTTTAGTTTTTTTTTCCTATTCTCTATTATCTCTGAGCATTCATTATCCCACCATTTAACAGGTTGTCTGAGCTTACACGCATTAATTCTATTATTTACATTAGAGTTATTATCTATACATTTGTCAATTTTTTACCTGTTGCTAACATGGCTGCTTTTTTGATAATATCTATAAATATTTATATTTCTCCTCCAAATTATCACAATCAATCGATCTGTCCTGGATTTTTGTAAATCCTCCTCTACCTTGTTCTAAAAAACCTCCAATCTGTGTTTTTGTTTGTAATTCTATTTGTTCTTTTTATATTGTGAAATAATAATATTAACACTAATCTCTATTGGATAATGATCAGATCCCCATGTATCTTTTATTTGTACATATTCTAGCTTTCCTATTAAATCTCTATTAGCAAATGCCAAATCAATATTAGAAGCAGACTGATTGTAGTAATTTAGACGTGATTTAGTATCATTATTTATACTAACGTAGCCTTTGTTAAACATTGTTAAGTATAAATTTTCTCCGTTTTTGTCTATCACAATTCCAAATAGTATGGTGGGAGTTGAAATCGCCCAAATAATTGACTTGTCATCGACTCCTTTAAATTTTAATATATCCTGCCATGAAGTAATTGTTTCTAAACCATATGGTTTTCTATAGACCGCTATTAGATTGAAGTTGTTATTTGTATTTTTAATTTTAATACCGATAGCTTCTATGTTTGGGGAGGAGATGTTCCATTCTTCAATAACTTCGAAATCAATGTTATTTTTAACTAAAATCGCAACTCCACCACTATTAGTTGCATTATTAGATTTATATGTCTTAAATCCTGAAAAATATAAAATATTATTTCTGTTCAATTTAGTTTCAGTAATAACTACAATATCGTACGGAATAATATTGTTTTTAATTCTGATTTCTTGTTTTTTATACCTCCTGCATTCCATAAAAGTATGGTAGACATTGGTTAGTCTTAATAGCTCTTATCTTCTTTTTATTTCTATCTTCCCAATAGTTTCTTTTCATATTCTGTCTTACCATCTTAGCTTTGGTTAATTCCTCTTGATATTTCTCCATTTTCCTCTTTCTTACATATACTTCTCTGTTATTTTCTTCTTGTCGAATATCCTCTTCTTCATTATGAATTGGAAATCGGTCCAAAGGTATTCTATGTTTATGTAATAAATTTACAAAGTCTCTGTTAAAGTCTTCAGACTCTTTACATTTACCCTTCATAATTTGAGCTAAGAATTCGCTTCTTTTTTGTAAAGGCTCTTCAATTTTTTTTTGGAATTCTCTATAATAATTTAAGTACGCCTGTCTTCCTTCCTCAATTTTTCTTTTTCTCTTCTGAATGCTTCTCGTTCTTTGGGTTTGTGTGTATAACCTTGTCCTTCTCTCGGAGGGCCATGTATAACCGTTGGATTTTCTTTTTCTTTTCTGAAATCATTCTTTACAATATTTTGTTTTAGCTTAGGCCATGCGTTTGGATTGGTGTACCTATCATATTTCGGAGTTATTTGTTCATAGTTCTTCCCAGTAATCAATCTTTCAGCCTCTGTGAATGAGATATTATTATATGCCATGATAACTTTTATTTCCTTATTTCTTAGAAAAACTGGACAATTTTTTGCGGTGGATCTATGATCTCCTCTGCAATTTCTACACGTGGTTAACCTGTTACATTCTCCGTGTGCGTTTTCTCCACAAATAATGCATCTAACCTCTCTCTTACAATGTGTTTTGATATGACCAAATATGAAACAGTTAAAACATTGAACCACTGGTTCTACATATGGTCTGATTCTTAGACTTATGTGTAAATTATTAAAAATTGTTATTCTATCCTTAATTTTATTCCCTTTCATAGTTATAATAAAATTATTCGTATTGACTACCTCGTATTTCTTATCAGTTTTATTCCAAATTCTTTTTTTCATTTTCTCTATTTTTAATATATCTTCCCTCTCAACTATATTTTCCCATAATTCTGGTATCTCGAACGGCTAGTCGACAATTACACCTCTACACATAACTAACATTTTATCTATAAAACCGGTAAGCCATTTATTTTCTACTTTGTCTATTTTGTCTAAACAATCATTAGCTTCTTTTGCATTTTTAAAACTTATTGTTGATAGATTAAATTTTAGCATTTCTATATTAATAGGGAATACCCCATTCTTAGTGCACCACAGTAAAATTTTTGTACAGTTCTTACCCCTATTTGACATAACATGATCTGTGTTAATTTTACAATTAATTTTACATACATTTGTAATTTTGCTATCATATCTCTGATTGTTTAAACGAAATATCTTGTCATAAATTTCTTTATCTATATCGCTAACTTTCTCAAGAATACCGTTAATCACGACAAAGCTATCTGCCTTTATGACCTTATTTATATTCGTTACTTGTTTGTTGATATTTTCCTGTTCCTTTCGGTTGGTTGTTTGTGTATCATCCTCTGCATTCCTTGTCCTAGTACTTGGTCCTTGGCTCGAATCTATAATCTCCTCCGTCAGCTCCATATCTGCATCTTTGTCTGGTTGATTCTCGCTTGATTGCGAACCTGTTTCCTTAATTGAACTGCTTGCTCTTAATTGTAATTTACTTGTTACGTTACTCTCCTCGTCATTCTCTGTCTCTATCATGTTCTCTATACTATCTAAAAACTCTCGGCTCCTTCCTCTTCCTTTCTCGTTCGTTTTGCCACTCTCCTTACGATATGGGTTGAATCTATTCCCCCGTCCGATCGGGAGAATTTCTGACATCGTCCAGCTGTTCCTTTTGTTCGGTCAACTTTATGATCCTCAAAACTGTGACAACTCAACTTCCCCGCGCTTGCTATAACCTCTTAAGGGTCGGCAGGCGACATGGTGGAGACGCCTATCGGCCGGCCGGGAATTACGGATTTGTTCATCCCATATATTAGCCAAAATACTTAATGAATCTTATTAAATTTACGATATTCTTAATCAGTAGGATTGTCCGCAGGGAGACAAAGATCGATTTTTTGGAAAAAAGATAAATATAAAATTCATAATATAACTTGGGGAGATGCGCAGCTAGCAGCGGGTAAGGTTGGGTTAGCCACGAGATCGTATTTAATTTATTATAAATTTTTAAGAGCAATAATGCAAAATTTGACTCTTTGTCTCCCTGCTTTATTATATAAAGAATATATTAAAAAATATTTCACGAAGTTACGTAACTTCTTTTTATGTAATATTTGGGATGAACAAATCTCACTAGATCTATACTCATGGGGAAATTTTCGTGGTAACACACTGACAGCTTGACAAGGAGAGAGTATCATTCTATCTTTGTCTCTCTTGCATTTGATATGTGTAAAATCAGTATAAACACAAAAACCAATATATTACGCACACGAATGAGAAATATTTTACATCTGTTCATTATATATAAAAATATAAAAGTAATGCAAATTAAATTTCACATTTATTTATAATTTAATAGTATTGTGAGGTAGTAACACATGGAAATCTTATAAGATGAATGCTGTACATCGATTAGCGTAATATTATGATTACAAGTCGCAATAAATGATTTTGCTAATATATTATTTTGAATAAAAATTTTATAAAAATAAATAAAAATGAAATAAATAAATTTTATTCAGTCTTTGTTTTTTCTATTATTTTTTCTATTATTTGAATAAAAGGCGTATCGTATGTAATAGATACATAATAATTTATATATATATGTATATATATTGAAATTAATATATATACATATATATATATATATATATATATAAATTTCAAAACGTAATTATATATTTATATAAATTATCTATCTATTTAATTTATTACACACGATACATCTTTTATTCAAATAATAGAAAATTAATTAATAGAAGAAGAAAACAAAGAATGAAGAAAATTTATTAATTTCATTTTTTTCGTTTTATATTTTTTTAATTTTTATTCAAAATAATATATTAGCAAAATCATTTATTGACTTGTAATCATATTATGCTAATCGATGTACAGCATTCATCTTATATGATTTTCATGTATTAACTACCTCATAATACTATTATAAATTAATGTAAAATTTAATTTCCATTACTTTTATATTTTTATATATGATGAGCAAATGTAAAATATTTCTTATCCGTGTGCGTAATATACAGGGTGTCCAATAACTAACGGACCAACGATTACAAATGGATTCTTTGGTCAATTTGGGAACGATTTTTCCTCAGCGAAAATATCGAAAAAGGTCATCAATTTTTACAACTTACCAATATTTGTCATTATGTATCTTTATAACTGAGTCTCAAATTAAAATTTTATTATAGTAAACTCTACCTGAAATTAACTGAAGAATGTAATTATGTTACTTTTAACTCCAAAACGTTTAGTTTTCAAAAAACCCATTTTTTTAAATCGCTTTATAACTCGAAAATTATTGACTTCTCAACTTTTTTGCTAAGGAAAAATCGTCTCCAAATTGGCCAGAGAATCCGCCCTTAATCATTGGTCCATTAGTTACCAGACACCCTGTTTATTAAAATATAATTATTATATAAATAATTAAATAAAAATATATATAATAAATAATTTATTATATTCATAAAAAAAATTTATGTAATAATTTTTTTCAGCATCGCAAGATCGGAGCAATAACATACTAGTCTATAAAAAAATATTTTAATTATTCTTTTTCAATTAATTTTTAAAACAAATTTTTAAAATATTTTTATATATTCAAATACTTATTATATATATAAAAATTATTGTGAATTATACTCATTGGAGTAATAATTATTGATTGAAGCCTGTTATGGCACAAACTGAACATCTTGTACATTGTCTGTATAATATTTTACTTATTTATAAAATGTATTTTATAAATAAATAAAATATTATATATATATAATATATATATAAGTTTATATATTTATATATATATACACAGATATGACAACCGTTATCTTGATTTTTACCGATTATTGATGTTACATTGTATAACTCTTATTTCTTTTTTTCTGCTACATAAGTACTTATGACGTGAAAGAACTTACGAGTAACGTATGATGGCTCAATGCGAGAATATTTAATCACGTAAAAAACTTGAGTTCAAATATATCAATATCAATTTTTTTATAATATATTATTGGAATATAGAAAATCATAGAAATATATTTTTTATATAGACGATAAACTTAAAAATTTGATATTGAAAATATTTTAATCATTTTACAACTACACATACTATAAATATATAAATGCAAAATAATTCCGTAAATAAATTTTAAGTAATAAATCAATTGCACACATGCACACAGCTGGTATGTAGATTTTTATTAAATTTATTTTTAAATTTGTTTTCTGAATTATTTTACACTTATATATAGTGTATGTAGTAAAAATATTTTCAATATATTAAAAAATTTTTAAATCGCCGAAATATATTTTTTTATCATTTTTCTATATTCTAATATATATATATATATATATATATATATATATATATATTATATATAAAATTGATATTGATATATTTGAACTCTAATTTATATACTGGATGATATACTGAACATCCTTGCATTGATTATACATTACTCAACGTTCTTTCACGTTATAAGTATTTGGAGCAAATTATACAATAGCATCAATAATCAAAAAGAAATCAGGAATAATCAACATATCCCTTATATAATATATATTATATATATATATTATATATATATATATATATATATATATATATATATATATATATATATACGCACATATGTGCATAACCATATATACAATTTCCAAAAAGTGGGTGCTATTAGCTTTGCTACGCTATTATTGCCTTCTGCTACGGAAGGCCAGATAGCATTTTCAAGCCGCATCTCGCGTATACCGGCATGGTAGAGGAACAAGGAGAATACGTGATTATCGGTCCTTGTCTCTCTACGGTGCGTCCGCGTGAGCAATGCAATGGTGTATGTACGTGTACAAACATGCACCACTACATAAAACCCGAGAATTGATTTCTCGGCGTTGGCAACACTGAAATCGGAGTTTCGCGTTGTCACCGCGCGAGGTCTCCAACATCAATTCGGAGTTTGGCCGGCCGACCTGTCGATCATGAAGCTGTCGACCCTTAATTGCTGTAATAATTTACAATAATTTACAAGATTGTGGTATTTTTTTTCGATCCATCAGTTGAAAGAAAGTCGTAAACAAAAGGAATTCACAAAACAAGATGAATGCACCTCCGACCTTTGAATCATTCTTGTTATATGAAGGAGAAAAGAAGTTTGTTTATCTCTAACCTCGTTTGTGATAAAATACAATTAATCGAATTAGCTGATTTTATACATCTGTTTTTTATAGGATAATAAAGGAACAAGATACAAAAGTGCCCAATGCTGCTATCTTTACAATCAACAAAGAGGATCATACTTTGGGAAACATGATTCGCAAGTAAGCATACCTGTTATTTGAATGTTACTTTCTCAGGTAACAAGCATATGGCATTTTGACGTCAAATGACGTTTTTAGACGTCAAAGTAACGTGGATTGACGTTTATAAGACGTCAAATAATATTATTAAACGTTAAATGATGTTATTAAATGTCAAAGTAATGTTGAATGATGTTATTAAATGTCAAAGTAATGTTGAATGATGTTATTAGTTGTCAAATGATTTTATTAGATGTCAAAATGACATTGATGTTATTAGATGTCAAATGACGTTATTAGACATAAAAGTGGCGTCGAATGACATGTGACATCAAAATGACGTCGAATGATATTAAACGTCAAATGATGTTATTAGACATCAAAGTGATGTCGATGATGTTATGTGAGATTGAATGATGTTATTAGAGTCAAATGATGTTATTAGACATCAAAGTGACATTGAATGACGTTTTATATGTCAAAATAACATTATGATGTCATTTTGACATCGAATGACATCAATTTGCTACTTGAGTCAGTTCTTCTTTTATATAATCAGTTGATAATTGTTTTTTATTCTACAGTCAATTACTAAAGGATCCTCAAGTATTATTTGCTGGCTACAAAGTTCCTCATCCGCTAGAACATAAGTTTGTTATTAGGATACAAACAACATCGGATTATACTCCACATGAAGCCTTTATGCATGCTATTACTGATTTAATTGCGGAACTTTCACTGTTTGAAGAACGTTTTAAGGTATATATTTTAATGCAGTTATATAATACAAAATATAAAAGGAATGTTTGCTTTGTGTATGTATTATTATGTATATGAATATAATTTATTTTTTTAGGAGGCGATTAAAGAGAAGAAGGAAGGTTTAGATTGAAATAAAAAAGGTGGAAGTTTTCTACAAACAGAAAATTTATCAAACTTTTTTCATCCAATACTTGATTCCTTAAATCCATATAATGCATCTATTAAATACATGACAAATACATTTTGTATAATAATTGTAAATAAATAATAATTGTACTAAGCATTTGTGTGTGTGTGTGTGTGTGAATTTAAAAGCTATGTTCATAACTATGAAAATTAATATCGTGAATTAATATATAATAACTGATGTTTAAGTTAAATTTGAGATTTTATGTATTACCACAGTGGTATTACATTACGTTATATATTTTTATTTCAAATATATGTAAAATTATATATTATTACATTGAGGTCGCATCTACAGAAATTAAATATGATTTGGTTTATTGCTTACGATTTAATAAGGCTTATTTCTATAAATGTAAGGCTAACAAGCTATGAATATGGGCCTTAACATCGGCAGGAAATTGAAAATATTTATTTTCTTCTCTAGTAGTAAGTTGTAATGATAAATTGCAAAATGTGAGATATTTATTAGACAAAAAATAAAAAACTTATTGTATTTATATTTTTGTAATGAAGTTTTTAGATCTGTGTATTATATATCATCAATTTAATGCTAGTCAAAATGTAAATTTAGCATGAATAATTATAAAAAAAAATATTTTGACAAATGTATACATAATAATTATATACTTGGTAAGGCAATCCTTGAAGTTTTTAGATCTGTATTATATATATCATCAATTCAATGCTAGTCAAAATATAAATTTAGCATAAATAATTACAAGAAAAATATTTTGACAGATTTATACATAATAATTATACTTGGTAAGGATCCTTATAAAATATTTCTTAGTTGTTTTCGTGCCAAAATCAAAATTAAACTATTATTTCCCAGAGGTTGAAAACATTATATAGACGCATTTCCCAAATAATTTCATATCAATTAAAGTAAAAAGAAAAATTTTTTAAAGTTATGTCTGCTAACTATTTGCTCTCAATTAATTTCTCTAATTATAAATAAACTATGAGTTTCTAAATTATGCAAACATCCCAAATAGACAAAAAGATATCTTTTAGAAATCTAAATTTCTTTACTAGATTACTTAGATTACTATATCTTGACATGTCTTTTATTTTGTACCAAAAGATATCTTTTAGGAATATAAAAGATGTCTTATACAACAGTTTCAGATATCTTTTAGACATCTATAGATGTCTTCAAGATATCTTGTAGAAATCTAAAGAAGTCTAATAGTTATCTTTTAAATGTATAAGATATATTTTAGATGCTTGGAAACTATTTTCTAGATGTATTTAAGATATCTAAATAGATCTAAATTTATATCGGAAAAATAAATAACATATAGCATATGACAATGTTAAGTTTATTAATTAAAAGTTGCTGCCTAATTATTTGCAACAACTTTTAATTAATAAACTTAAGGGTCGGCAGTACACCCGCAGGCAAACTCCGAATTGATATTGGAGACCTCGTGCGGTGACAACGCGAAACTCCGGTTTCAGTGTTGCCAACGCCGAGAAACCAATTCTCGGGTTTTATGTAGTGGTGTGTCTGTACACGTACATACACCAACTGCATCGCTCACGCGGACGCACGTAAAGAGACAAGGACCGATAATCACGTGTTCTCCTTGTTCATCTACCGTGCCGGTATACGCGAGATGCCGCCTGAAAATGCTTTCTGGCCTTCCGTAGCAGAAAGCAGTAACGTAGCAAGACTAATAAGCACCCACTTTTGGAAATTGTATATATGGTTATGCACATATGTGCATAACGTATATATATAACATATATATATATAATATATATATATATTATATATATATATTATATAAGGGATATGTTGATTATATTCTTGATTTCTTTTTGATTATTGATGCTATTGTATATAATTTGCTCCAAATACTTATAACGTGAAAGAACGTTGAGTAATGTATAATCAATGCAAGGATGTTCAGTATATCATCCAGTATATAAATTAGAGTTCAAATATATCAATATCAATTTTTATATAATATATATATATATATATATATATATATATATATATATATTAGATATAGAAAAATGATAAAAAAATATATTTCGGCGATTTAAAATTTTTTAATATATTGAAAATATTTTTACTACATACACTATATATAAGTGTAAAATAATTCAGAAAATAAAATTAATAAAAATCTACATACCAGCTGTGTGCATGTGTGCAATTGATTTATTACTTGAAATTTATTTACGGAATTATTTTGCATTTATATATTTATAGTATGTGTAGTTGTAAAATGATTAAAATATTTTCAATATCAAATTTTTAAGTTTATCGCCTATATAAAAATATATTTCTATGATTTTCTATTCCAATATATATAAAAAAATTGATATTGATATATTTGAACTCAAGTTTTTTACGTGATTAAATATTCTTGCATTGAGCCATCATACGTTACTCGTAAGTTCTTTCACGTCATAAGTACTTATGTAGCAGAGAGAAAGAAAATGAGAGTTATACAATGGAACATCAATAATCTTATATATTATAATCTTTATATATTATATATATATAATATTTTATTTATTTATAAAAAACATTTTATAAATAAGTAAAATATTATACAGACAATGTACAAGATGTTCAGTTTGTGCCATAACAAGCTTTAATCAATAATTATTACTCCAATGAGTATAATTCACAATAATTTTATATAATTATAATAAGTAATTGAATATATAAAAATATTTTTAAAATTTGTTTTAAAATTAATTGAAAAAGAATATTTAAAATATTTTTTATATTTAAATATTCTTTTCCTCAATTAATCTTAAAAAAATATTTTTAAATATTTAAAATATTTAAAAATACTATATATTATATAAAAATAATTGTTGATTATTATATTGGATTATTAATTGAATGAAGCTAGAGCTTTTAATATGGCTTTTAATATAACACTAATACGTGAGCACACGGATGCAAATATTGAGAGATAATGTCAGCAAAAAGGCTATCATATTATTTTATTTTTTTGTATATGTAATGCATATGTAAATAAAGAACAAAAATAAAACTATTTTAAGATGACATTTTATAATTAATTTTCTATATGTATTTGCATTTTATTAATATGTATTACATTTTTGATATGTTTTTATTTATAAATTTATATAAACATAAGTATGAAATAAAAATTGAAATAGTTCTGAAAATAAGTATATTAATGAAATTATTCAAAACAATAAAAAAATTAAATTTAATATTTTTTAGTGTTTGTACCTACATGGACGCTACTACATATGCGATGTAAGAGAGACAAAGATGGAATGATGCTCTCTCCTTGTCAAGCAGTCAGCATGTTACCACAGAAAATTCCCCGCTCCTTATGAATCTAGTGAGAATCTTATCGTCCAGATATTTCATAAATAAGTGACATAACTTCGTGAATTTTTTTTTAATATATTCTTTATATAATAAAGCAGTCCTCAAAAGGCCGGATTTTACATTTTCGCTCTTAAAAATTTATAATAAATAAAATACGGACTCGCGGCTAACCCAACCTTACCCGTTCCTAGCTGTGCATTCCCCCAAGTTTATTAAAAATTTTTATTTTATCTTTTTTTCATAAAATAGCTCTTTAGAGGACTACAAATGAGCTTACTGATTAAGAATACCCTAAATTAATAAGATTCATCAATATTTTCGCTAATATCTGGAAAATAAGAATCCGTAATTCCCGGCCGGCCGATAGGCGTCTCCACTATGTCGCCTGCCGACCTTAGGGTGCGATTACATGGACGCGCGGAAACGCGGAAACGCGGAAACGCGGAAGAGAAAGTAACTAAACTTTACTAGAGTCCCGCATTTCCGCGCGTTCCGTTCCGTCTGTTTTGATTGCCTTATATTACATGGAGCAATTTTGAGCGGAAAAGCGGAAACGGGGAATTAAAAAATATTAATATTTAACTATATTTATTGATTAAAATGCTTGTATTCAATAGATAAGTGAAAAGATGAACATATTAAAGGAATTACAATGAATTAAGTAAATATAAATTTAAAAATTAATACAAATGTCTATTTGTCACTATACCGTTCCGCTTTTCCGCTCAAAATGTGCTCCATGTAATATAAGGCAATCAAAACAGACGGAACGGAACGCGCGGAAATGCGGGACTCCAGTAAAGTTTAGTTACTTTTCTTCCGCGTTTCCGCGTTTCCGCGTTTCCGCGCGTCCATGTAATCGCACCCTTAAGGGTCGGCAGGCGACATGGTGGGAGACGCCTATCGCCGGCCGGGAATTACGGATTCTTATTTTCCGATATTAGCGAAATATTGAATGAATT